AGGTTGAAACTTTATTACTAAGCAAAAATCTCACATACAAAAATTTCGTTTCAGTGGCACTTTAAAGAAATCGCGCCCTGCTCAAGCGTTTTTTTTTTCTCCAAAGTAGACGATATAAAAATTAAAAAGAATGTCGGACGTGTTTTTTCCTCCATTCTCTTATCTTTCTTTTCTTGTTCTCCTCTTTCTAATTTTTTTTTTTTTTTTTTTCATCGCTTGGAGTGATTTTAAGGCCATTTGGAGCTATGAAATCAAAGTCCATATGGCTGTTTTTGGTGCAAAGTATTGTCATGGTTTTCATAAATCCAGTCATATAAAAAAACAGTACATTACATGACAATGAAGCAAGGCTGATTACTACGTAGAAAGCTTAACGGGACAACGACATGATAGAGTCCAAACTGAAAGCCAAGAATTGCAACCCTGGACAGCTGTTTCGACCTGGTTGGGTCTCGTTAGCACGGTGTGGCAGCAAAAAGGAAAGCAACCGGCTTGTGGACCGATTGTCTAATAATGCATCATGTCGTTGTCCCGTTAAGCTTTCTACGTAGTAATCAGCCTTGCTTCATTGTTATGTTTCTATTTTTTGCTGACCAGATCTGCTACAGATACTACGTACTCTACCAGTAGCATTTTCGTTTGCGGTCCCTTTCATCAATGTATTTAGCATTACATGGCCGCTTGGAGATATGAAATTTGTCTTCTCATCTTATGTTGAAAAATATTTCACTTGTTCGTTTCTCTCACTCGTGAAATATTTTTCAACACTTCAAGAGAAATTTTGTATCGTCGCGTGACCCTGTAATATCCTCTATGTATCCTAAACTTACGAGGGTTTAATGCATAATGGTCGAGACCCTGACTTCGCCTGTAGCACATTTGGAGTGTGAAGATTGTTTTCTCTACCACATAAACACAAGCAACACACGCAGACAGAAATGGCTGGCTTTCACAAGCGCGTAATTTTCAATCGACTATGGTAAAAGCAAGACTAAAGTAATCACTCTAGTCAATCACAAAGAAAAAACGTGCATGCACGAGGTTCGTGCGCGAGCAAGCACGATTGGTTTTGGTTTTACTTCTGATTGGCAGACAAAATGGCGCGAGTTTTTTTAAGCCAATCGCGTAGTGTAGTAATGCGAAACCACAGTAAATGCATATTACTTTCGACGTTAAGCAGTCAGGAGCTGTTTACATCTATCCACATGTTACTGCGTCTGCGCAGTTGCTTTTGCTTTCACACTAGTGGCAATTAGCCTTAACAGCCTGCCATCTTGTCTGTTTGCGCGTGTGCTTATTGTTACCTAGCGATCACCTATTTTTAAGGAGGGTTGGCAACAGTTTCCAGCACTTTTCCAACAGCTATACTATGACGGATGAATACTACCATTGTTTCAAGTGATGTTTGTGCATCACATTGGTGAGAGTTTTCGTGCACCAATTTACCAGTCCCCATTATTTTTTTTCTACGGAGGGTTAGCCTGAATTGTCTACCAAGAATTAAGAAACAGACCCAAAATATAAAAACCTCTTGAGCCTGACTCCGAAAAATCTAGGTTCTTATATTCGGTTTTTTTTTACTGTAATATGTTTTGTTTTTTCTTTGTGCAGCTACCACGGAATCAAGCCATTGTAACACCGCTGTCCTCTGCCCAGTCCCCAAGTATTTCCGCTCCTTTTTAAACGGCAGCCGGAGTTTCCGAAGAACAAGAACCGTGTTCTCGCACGAGCAGCTGAAAATGATGGAAGAAAGATTTAACCAAGACAAATATCTCTCTACCCACGGGAGAAACGACTTTGCCCAGCGGTTGAAGCTTACACCGTTGCAAGTGAAGACGTGGTTCCAGAATAGACGGATGAAGTGGAAAAAGGAAATGTTAAAGAAAGACCCGAAAGCCGTGACCACGCGAGCGAAAGGCCGCCCTAAAAAGGACGAGTTTTGATTCAGGGATTGCATTATATAAGATAACTTTTGAATAGATACAAGACAAAATATTGTAGTTCAGTTTGGAGAACACTCGCTTCAGATTTGCGGTTTAATTTGATTCAGCGGATTGTCTGTTTGCGCATGTGTTGACCGTTGCTTAGCGACCGTGATGACGTATATAATATCGCGCTATTTTATTGGCTTAACAGTTCAAATTGGCATATTTTGTTCCGAGTTGGAGCCTGGCCGAGGTTTGTTGCGTTGCATAGTTGCCATTGTAAGAAATTATTAGGAAATCAAAAATATGCGTTGACGTAAAATTATTCCTAAGGCAGAACAAAAGTGCAATACAATAATTAATGAAGAATTTTTCTTGGAAAACAAAAACTTTGTACTTTGTTGAATGGTTTGTACAGGCAAGCTATGGCCTCTGACAGCCTTTGAACACGAAATGACAGCTTTCTACCAGTAATAAATCAGCAATGTTTGAACAGTTAACGCGACTGTAAATAGTTTAAAAGTTGTATAACTTGTTTAGTTACTTTGTCAAATTGATGTCATTATAAACATGTTTGAAGTTGTTAAAGAATAAAGACAATTTTCAATAAACTTAGCAAAACAAAACAAAACAATGGTTTTATTTGCATTTAGTGATATACCAGATTTAAAAAAAATCAGATCGAACAAGCTGCAGTAAATTAGAGCATTTCGACTTTCGACAAAAAAACGCGTGACAATACATTGTGTATTTCTTCTTCTTGAACCATACAACGTAGTCCTAAGGTTCCTTCTCGGTAGAAATTTTCTGGTCCTGAGTTTCTGAGGACGTCGCTTGGTCCTTGAGTCTCACTGCCAAAAGAGAGATTCAAATTAAACATGCGAAGCTTTTCACAGAACGGGGGATTTCGGATGAAAGGCAATAAGTCATTACCGAGTCTCCTTTCGACTTTGTCGCAACAAGTCAATGTGTATTGTAATGTATTGCGATACCATTTATTCACTGTACGTTCATTTTCATACAAATCAAATTCATTTTCATTTGAAAGGTTTTACACAGGGACTCGTTTTGAAACAGAGGCAAAAGGCAACTCGTGTGCTTTGTTAAATGTTAAAGAAATAGAAAACATGTACCGTGTTTTTATCGAGTTATCAAAACACGAGTGAAAGTTTGAGCAGCTTTTTCGAGTTCTCAAACTTTCACGAGTGTTTCTACTGATTTAACAATTAGATTATGACAGGAGCCCATTACCCTTCTGGGCTCCTGGTTACGAGCTCGAGATTTCTGAGGTGATAGTTGATGAGACCGAAAGCCGAATGAGCTATCGCCTCATAGAAATCGAGAGCGAATGATCTAATTGTTTTAGTACAGTTCTAACTGAAATTTCCTTCAAATAACAAGTCCAATTATTTCTGGTCTTAGTATTAAACTTCAAACTTTTCAATTCCCGCGGACTGAATTTGACATTTGCATTTGTGTACGCGCGCTTATCAATTTCTTTCTAAAATTTAGTTCGAGCTTTTTTAATTCAAGAAACCGAAAATGCCCTTCTTTTAGTCTTCTCAGGAATTTGTTTATCCATTTCCTACTAAATGTTCTTTCAAAACCTCGGAGAAATTCTCGGTATTGGAACTAGCTTGCATTGGAGGCTCATGCGGGAGAATATCATTAAAAAGAGATTAATGTCATTTGCATTTGAAAAGACTCCACGCGTTAGCCTCACTTGCAAGCTAGTTCCAGTCCAATACCGAGAGTACGAAAATGGCCTGTCACACCAAGCCACTGCACACAATGGCTGATACTGTCCATGGCTCAGCCAATCACATTGCAGCATTTGCATTAGTATACTAGTAGAATGCTACTAAAACTCGATAGATACACGAAGAACATGTTTTCTATTTCTTTTTGAAAATATCGCGACCAAAAAAAGAAACACAACTTGTTTACTTTGATCATCAAAATGTAAATTCTATTTGCTTGCGCCATCAAAACGTCAACAGCTCGTGCTAGTTCTGTGTGTCTGTAGAGTTTTTTTGCAATAATCATAATCAATAATCAATTACAATTTCCTCAAATGAGATTGGTGCATAAACTGCTGTATTTTGCTCTAATTAATCTGCAAAGTTGTAATCGGACAGTTGGCTGTAATTGGACACCTGTAATCTGACAGTTACATGAGCCAATCATTTTAAGTCCTCTCCACCAAGTCCACCAATCACAACATTGATTACAATCACTATAGTAACCAATTCAAGAGAATGACTTTGTAAAATTGTGGAGGTTTAGTCTCCGGTGACTGTTTTGAAAGAAACCTGGCAGCCATTTTGCAAGCTATTTTCTATATTTTTAATTATGATATTTAAAAATGACTATTAAAAGCTCTTTTTCAAATGAAACTTTTACTTTTGTGAGAAATTGTAATTGTTATGATTAATTGATAACAGGACATCGCTTCCCGGTCGTCCGATTTTGTTAATCACTCGCATGATTACAGACCGAATTGGACTCCACTCAGTCCTATTACCATTATTAACTGCAGAAATTCTCGCGGGCGAGTTCTAGAAGCACAATTTAAACTACTGAGCGCGTAGGAGCCTTAGGAAAAGGGAACACCCTTACATCCTGCCACGTGTCAGAACTGAACGTCATAAACGCCGTTTTGTGAACAGATGCCTTTTCAATTTTATTTAATTGTTATTCATACATTTGTAAATAGTTTGTAATTAGTTTTTTTGTAGCAGTTAGTTATATGAAATTGTACGTCCAGATGTATGACTCTGGGCATGTTTCTTTTGACATTTACTATTTCTTGATAAAGAATTCTTACTTTTTTCTTGGGGCTATTTACTAGTGGTTGATGTGCTCTAAATAATCACTGACACGGTATTATTTCAGTGAATTAGGAGGAAACCAAAGCAAAACTTGCTTGAACTCGTTTTGTCGCGCTCTTCAAGTTCTGATTGGTTCATTGCATCATCCATTTTATGTGATTAGTTAAATGTGATTACTTTGGTATAGCTTTTGGTTCTACGACAGTCAACTAAAAACTGCTCCGGTACGGCGCTAACACGAATAAAAGTCTGGCTTATCGAACACGCGTTGCGGTAGCAGATGTAAGGTTAGACGGTGCGCTCGACTCGGATCGAGCGGTCCGGTTTCGAGCTCTGACATTGAGTGGCGTTCTTAGGCAAGACACTTTACTCTCGCAGTGCCTCTCTCCACCCACGTGTACAAATGGGTACCGGCGAAGTTAATGCTTTGGATAACTCCGCGATAGACTAGCATCCCATCCAGGGGGGGGGAGTAGAAATACCCCTAGTCGAACACGGCGTACTTACATTTGCTGTATTTTCTGCGTTTGTTTCTATAGCGTACAAGTCTGTTGATAACTCCTTTGTTTCTTTTTACGTGACATACGATATCAAAGACGAGCAGGAACAACACAGTGGATATGACCAGGACTGTGACGGATATGACCAGCATGTCTGAGGACGCAACAAGCACAAAAATAAGGTGAACCAGCATGTCTGACGGTGCAATAAGTAAAAAAAATAACAGCCAGCATATGTCACCACCAGTGTAACAAGCAACCGTAAGACAACCAGCACGTTTGAGGTTGTGATATGGGAAAAATAACTTACTGGCATCTCTAAGAATGTGATAATTATAAGTGAAATGAATCTTTATGATCAGCGGAAACTATCGTGTCTAAGAATTCAAAAAGTGAACAAGAGTCCAACTAAAGTGTCTGAGGATAAGAACTAAGTGAAAACAGCATGTCCAAGAATGCAATAAGTGAAAAAAGGTGTAAAATAAAAGCCCAGTACATCTGAGGAGGAAACGATTAACGAAAATTAAGACAGTTAGCACGTCTGAGAATGTGGCAAGAGCAAAAAAAGAACTGCTGGGATGCCAAGTTCCTTACCTTTCGGCTTTGTACAATGCTTTCCTTTGTCACCGTCAACAGCGTCCGCGACCTTGTGCCCTGATTGATCGACACACCAGCACTTACTCAGGTGAACAGAACATTGAATTACGTGATATGATCCATCTGTATTGCATCGAGGCAAAAATTCCAGTTTTAGCCGGGGGTCATGTGACAGTATGCGGTCTTGTTGGCACTGGGTAATGTCTAAGGAGGGGGAAATTGGGAAGAAGTTAGTTAAGTTCGAGAACTGAAGAGCCGAGAAGAGCAGTTTCCACTTCACACAAAGAACACGGAGGATAGAGTTTTTAAAGGAGCTAAGTCATGGTATTATCAGTTATTCTAGCCACGTACAAAAGTACCTTTAAATTAAAGGAAACCTGGAAATAGTAGTTTACTAATATAGAAACACACCAAAGAGATAATAATAAACCATAAAGGAACAAGGATGGTTAACGATGGAAACGATTGACACGGATTACAAACGACGAACTTGAACAATTTTGGCTAAACTTCTCAAGATGCGCAAACCGTGACGTGGCTCCTTTTAGTGTGGCTCCTGGAAGCAAAAAAAAAACAACAACAACAACAACAACAAAGCAAAAAAACACCACCAAACAACTAACTTTTGCTTTTATCCTCACGGAGTTTTATCATGATGTGTTGAAATCCCAGCTTGTTTCTCGCCTTGCATTTGTAGTCCCCGAAGTCGGCGTCACGAAACGGCGTCACGCGTAACGTACTCACTCCGTGCTGGTGTTCCACTTTCTGTAAACAGAGCTTACATTTGTCACCCAGCATCTTCTTTCCCTTTGTCCAGAATACCTCAGGCGGGGGTTGACCCTCGAAGAAGCATTTTAACGTTATTTCCTGACCGAGTGGTGTTTTCTTCACATGGTCGGACTTGACCTTGTTGATTCGAGCAGCTTTCTCGAAAGATGGTGAGGCTAAAATGATAAAGCGCAATTGCTTCAAGACTGAGCCTCCTCGCTGATAGTCAAGTTTTTTCACCAACATAACACACTGTCTAAGCTATTTCTTTTAGAAATAGATCGACTATGATTTATGCTCTCTTTTTCTCGAGTACCCACAACAAAAATCATTTTCCTTACCTGCATTAAAACAGCACAATGTCCATACAACGATAAAAACAACTGTTTTCATGACACCACTCAGTAACCGTTGCAACAGTCACCACTATGACGCAAACATAGTCTGACGAGCGCGCTCTCACGAACATCCGCTTTGCTCGCGCGGCCTGCACCTGCGGAAGGTCTCTCCCCGCTTCTCTTTTCCCGTTTGGCGTGTCGCCCAACGCTTTAACTTTTTCTACGGTTGAGCGTTACGTCACGCTATACCAGTGAGCGTGACAGCATGCGAGAACGTACTAGTAAATACCACTTACTAACCGAATACTTGTTATATGGCTGTCTCACAAGGACTGGGAACTACCGAGTTCACGAATTTGATTGGCTGAAATCGATATTGAAAGAGGTCTAGATTTTCCCATCTAGACCGGTCACATTTTGCGGTGAAAAAGTTGAAACTAAAATGTAAAAATATTGACTATTATCTTCTAACAGTATTTATTTATGGAAGTGCCAAAAAGCCTGATGAGAAAAAAAAAGTGAAAAGGACGAGAAAAAATTTGGCAAAATTAAGTTCGGCTCATCGCCGTTCGCTAGCAAAATGTCAGCTAGTACAAACCAGTTTCATTAAACGAATTAAATTGTTCTTGTTTGCCATATAATAAGCATGTTATTAACCGAACTTAGTCGGTCTGTATGGGAGAATCTTGACCTCGGTCGTGTGTACAGACCTCACTGCGTTCGGTCTGTACTCACGACCTCGGCCAAGATTCCCCCATACAGACCTCCTGCTCGGTTGATAAGAGCTGAGTAAGTTACGGACCGAGCTTTTTCCCTATCAATTTATGGCCCAAGCGCGAAGCGCGTGGGCCATAAATCGAAGGGACAAAACGAGGATCCGTAACTTACAGTAGACTTAACTACAATACGGACTAAGAAGACGAGGTTAGTAAGATATTGTGCGTCTGCTGGGTTCGGGTACGATTTCTAATCACGCGGAACGGCTTCAAATTCGTTAGCAGGTTTTAATACACAATTTTGAAAGTAAAAGATAGTTTTAAACTTTTACTTGCTATAAAAGTTAAGAACACTTGACGATAAATCACGAAACAGTTTGGCAACAAATAAAGCTGCAAATTTTAGCGGGGCGTACAGTAGAATACCGCCCGCTAAAATGACCAAAAACAGTGCGCGTACTAACCGAGAGTTATAATAAAACAGAGTATTCGATGCATGCAGTTCATGTTGATGCACGCGTTTGGCACGCGTCATAACGTGCGCATACTGACCTCAACGCGGGTAACTAAGCTTTTTCGCTGCAGCCCGTGTCGCGCCATTTAATAATAGTAACGACCGCCAAAAATAGCATCACTTTATTACCTCGCCTCGGGCGACTGTTATAATTGCTTTTTCAAATATTTCCGCTCTTAAAATACAGGGTATATGATTACGGCGGATACGAAGTTATTTTAAAGATATCCTTGGAATCTTTGGTCTTCAGCTCGGTAAATAAGTCCTGTATACGGCATGACAAGGGAGAAAAGTAGGAAAGTGGGTTGAAAAGAGCAGTAGCAAAACTGGAATGGTTGATTAAGTAATGGAGGATGTGAATTAAAACTAGATGAAATCTCGTGTTAACAAGAAAAGTTCGCCTCCTAAGATTTTGAGGTCACAGTCGTATCCTGTAGTCCCCCCCCCCCCGCCCCCTTATTCATTGGAGACATGCGACAACCGGAAATATGTATACTTCCGCAGTCGTTCTTTAGCCTGCAGTGAAGCCGGACGTGTCACGAAATCCTCCGTCTATTCCAGCGGTGAAGATTGTCTGTGGCGCAAGCTATTTCGAACATAGAACATGCATCCAATTACGGAAAGGTTACCATAGGAATAGAATGCACACTCTTTTTCGGCTCAGCGAATATAAGGGATCTAAGGACGGACCCTTATCTTTTGGGGGGGGGGGGTGGGCAATTTCCAAAACAAAATTCTTGCACAGTAAAACCGTGCAATGGGAGTCATAGGGACAAAATCAAGCATGAGCTTTCTGTTTTTTTGATGTTAAAAATTCTTGCACAAGCAATCGCCCACCAAAAAACTCATGCACAACCTAAAGGTGAGAAAAAACATTTCAGGCCCCGGAAAATTGCCGAACTCCCCTCCCTCTCAAAAAAATAAATGGCAACTGAACAGCAGGACAGTTGTCTGGGGTATCGTCAACAGATAATCTTCTAAAAAACCCGCGACACTCTAAACTCTCAAGATATTAATATCTGCCAATGACTGGTCCAACAACATCGTCTGGTGAAGACATGTGAAACAAAAACTGAGGAACGACAAATATACCTGTGTCACAACTAGAACTTACTGGTGGAAATCAGCAGTTAATTTTGGCTCAAAACTGTACCACTCCCAGTTAAAACTGTACCACTCCACTCCTAAAAAGTTGTACGACTAACGAGGGACTATCTCTCTCACATACAACCCTCAAGGCAAGCGGCGCAGAGCAAGGCCAAAGACCTCCTGGCGGAGAACTGTGACAGCTTGGCCTTTTTATCCAGCTAGTCATTCTCCCACACGCGTGGACCGCGGTGCACGCGTTTGTTCTAAAAAATTTAGACAGATCTGAAAGGTATATTTTTGCAGTTTTAATTCCGATACGATGGAGAACATTGGCGAGTGCGAAGAACGCTTTGCGTCCATGTCATTTAATCTAACTGTATCTGTGCTCCCAAAATATCAGATACCCTCTTCCCTCGAGGACCATCGCGCGAGGAGTAAAAATGGCGCGCGAGAAGAAAATGGCAAAGCGCATTTCCCAGCTATAGGAGATGATCTCTGTTCCATAAGACTGTAAATAAATCAACTAGGCTTCGCAACTTTTTCTTTTGACTAAACATGCTGGCTGCAAATAACTCACAGCAAAACAACCCGTGGAGTCTATTTTCTTGTTTTGACTTTGGCAAGCGTAACGTCTTTCTCCTAGCTACGAAAGAAACCAAACGAAAACGAAGACGAATTTCTGCTAAGTTACTGCTAGCGAAAACTTGTTTATTTGTTTCCATCTGTTGAACAGGCAACAGACGCAAGAAGCTAGTGTAAGCCATCTCGCGCTGCACTTAAAAGGTTTACCGCTTATTTCCCGCACAGGAGGACAAAGGAAAATAAAACCTGTGGCACACGGGGGATCTTTGTTGAGGCATGTGAGCTCAGTCATAAGCATAAATCCGTGAAAAATAAAAAATAAATAAAGGAAAAACGTAGGAGAGACCATCATCTGTCTTGCAAAGGGAAGGAAATGGAAATTACATAGTTCACCACAAGTTTTCAAAACAAAAGAATTTTATTTTTAGTTTGAATTTTATCCTATCTTCTTATCTGCTTCGCTGACAGGCGGGTTCGGACAATATTATTAAACAACAGAGCTGATATGAATTAATTTTAATCTGTACTCTACCTTTATTCAACGTTGTTTATATTTGAAGCACAGTATTCCTAGTGTCAATCTAGAAGTTATTGATTGCCCATTTGCCGAGTGTAATCTTGTTACTCTCGCTGTCAATTAGTTGTCAAACGTACATGCAATGTACAAAGAGAACTATCGATCAGGTATCACAGATGGAAAATTCATTAGATTGTTCCTCTGTAGTTCATTTGTAGTAGAGAATCCTACTAAAACTTGATTGTACGTTTTCGTCAATTGCTATGTATAAAATATCGCAACAGAATTTTCATTGTTTTGTGACAATGAAAGTTCGATAACATCGTTAATTTTGCCGCAAAATGAGCGCATCCGTCGAAAATCACCTGATTAGTGGCTCCACAATATCAAGCCAAAATCGACTGCCATTTTCAACATGAAATGGCAGAAAAAAGAACATCGAGCGAAGTAAATCTAATGTAAACTCTGATTTCAGTTCTCTTATTTGCAAAGTAAGCTTTTTAATCGATTATTTGAGTTTTTTCGTGAGTACGGCGTCTTTCAATTTCCGTGCTCTTTCAAGCGTAGAAATAGACGCTATCCAAAAAAATTTGCCAAAACTCAACTCAAATCGATGCTGATGGACTTCAACATGAAGTCGTATCCTAACACACTCACAGAGAACGGAAAAATTCTGTTCCTCTGCTGTAAATAAGACAGTTTTCCCCTTCATACTTGTTTGCTAACTATAATTTGAAGCGGAAATGTTCTCAAAGTACTAACTTCTACATAAATTTGTCTGATGTCGCCCGACGCCGTGAAGGCAAATTAAAAATTGTTCCTTGTTTTAATTGCAAATTAGCAACAAGCGAAGACTCAACGCAGTAAAATTGCGAAATAATGTTACCAAAGACGATAGGTAATAATTTGAATCAAGTCTTAACGACGAGCTCTCTTCGATTCTAGAGGTGGCCGTTTGGACCTTCGTTCGACATTAGACCGCACTATTGTAGATTTTGCTCTTCTACCCCTAGCATTCCTCTGTTTCGCACATTGCCCTAAAAAGAATGGAAAACAATCGTTTAGTACCTTCACTCTGGCTCTGAATAGCAGTCTGCTAACTTGTGACATCATTCAAGGGACAACAATTTAAATTTTCACCTGTGCTGTCTCTGTTTTCGACCGGTGTTGCTCCAAGCACCCGCAAGCGTTTTCGCGCGGGTTCTATCGGTTTAAAGTCACACACTTCGATATTTTCCAGTATTCGATCTCTAGTTCTTAAATTATATCTGGTAGATGACTGCGCAGTATCCACACTTATTTGTCGACATACATTTTCGGCGGAATCAGAGGTCGCACATGCTGTTGCACTTTCCGTTGACGATTTACGAGTTTGTAACCTCTTGCCGACTCGTTCCCATTTGTATCGCCCCGGGAGAGGTTGAAAATTTTCAAAGTCGAAGTTCCATTTGCGTTTCTTCTCCTCCAAGATGCGATTCATCTCTCGGTTTAAATCATCTCGGATCTGTTCGTGATCGTGGTCCACTGTACCAAAGAGATTTCTCCTCACGTCGGTTTTAACGCGTCCCGCACCCGCGTCACGATCAACACTCATATTAACAATTCCAAATTCGGGTGCAATACAAGTTAGCCAGTTACACTTTCCTTTAACCAGGTCCTTATTCCACGCTTACTTTGATTTGAAACCTAGCTCTTCCTCCGTTAAACTCGATCCCATTCACAAAACTCCATCACCAAGGTATCCGAGAGAGAAATTCGACGTAGTAAAAGGTTGCGTAGTGATGGCGTCGCTCCGTCACTAGTTCTCGAACCGCAATGTTTTTCAGTCTTCCCTCAGGCTCAAATACTTTTAAAGCAAGTGTTGCACATCTTAGCTGACCGTAACAAGAACAACAATCGATTATTCCAAACTCCAATCGATAGCGCTAGACAATTAAAATTTCCGTCGTGTGGATTGTTTATATTCGTTAAAAGGCATGAAAAGAACAACGTACAGTTTTTTGGCGTCCCTTCAGCTGCAGCCCGCCACGCCGAGTCGCCACGCGAACAAATTAGCCAAAGATTTACCTCCGGCCAATGAGCGCATACCACGTCATCAGTTATATTTACCTCAGGTGACAGATGCGACAGCTCATGAACAAAGGAATCTTTGTTCAAAGGTTTTGTTTACACTGGGCACCGTCAAGAGAGCAAGTTTGAAACTGACTTTTCGAAGCTATAATCGAAAAACTGTGTTGTTTTGGAGGGTTTAAAAAGATTCCAGACAGCTCCGACAATTATAGTGTAGTACTTGTCAACCCTAGAAAAGCGCGTCTAGAAACCGTACCAAAGCGATGCTTGTAATTTGATATCTGCTTTTAAAGAACGCATCTTACTCTATTCGAAACGGTTTGATTTAAGCAATCCCTGCTTATCTTGAGCAAAACAACAGATCGTAGAAGATAGTATATTTGTTTACCTCGGGAATTTGGTGCGATTGGTGTAGATTTTGCAATTAATACGAAGAATGAATGCTGGAACGGTGTAAGCTTATGTTTGTGGGTGTGAACGAAATCAAGACGCACTCCTATTGAGGTCAATATCTTTCTAATTGTCATTTTAGGGATTAGGTAACGCAATGACAGAAAATGAGATTGCCTCGCTGTGGAAAAACTCAGCTTCGCTCATATGTGAAGAAACAGTAGTTCTTTCGACTGGAAATCGCTATTAGTTGGCAACTCCAGTAAGAGGAACGAATTGCTAAGTCTCCATTCTTTCCTTTTCATCAAACTGTGCGTTGCCATTTATCACAATTTCGAGTACAGACGACCGGGTTTTTAAACCACCTATGTAAGCCCAATATTGCAGTGACTGTCTCTTTTACCCATTGTTCAAAACGAAGATTAATATCACTGGAGGAAAACAGAATCACAGAGTCGAAATCAAAAGGTGTCTACAGATACTGACAGAAAGCCAAATGTAAGGTGTTAATTAAGTAACTACAGTTACTTAAGCAAAACACATGTTGAAATTAAACAGGAATTAGTTATTGATGGAGTTTTCGCCCAATCATGCCCAGTTAACTTATCCCTTTGTTCAGCGTTAGGAAACCAGTTTCTTTTCTTATCTACGTATCGTTTTTCTTTGCTTCTGTAAGATTTCCTTTTCACCTGACAGTATGAATTATTGAATTCGCTCTTCCGAATTTTAAAGATACCTTACAAACAAACTTCGACTTCCTTATTAAGACATACCCAGTTCGTTACCAAAGAAGGTCAAACACGTTACCTTGTACAGTGGAGTGGAACCTCCAATTAAGGAGACAAAACACTTGTACACTACATAATATACGAGGATACTTTGCGAGTTGAGTAGGAAAACGAGAAAAATATGAGCAATGACGAAAACAAAATACGACTCTACAGTGCAATATGGGCTCATACTTTGCCACTCTACAGTACGACATGGGCTCATATTTTGCGACTCTACAGTGCAATATGGGCTCATATTTTGCGAGTTGTCTTATACTCTCTTGGCCTAAAATAGTAAAATGGCGTAACAGTGGAATAATAGAACAATTTATGAGTGTACATTTTGCCGGCACAAAGGCTTGTGTAGCCGAGGTGTCTCAAAGTAAAGGTTCCACTACACTGACGCCACTTAGCTGTTTTCACTTGAGCGGCTACTTGAGAGCCGAAAGTAATTTGCAATTGCATTGCTTTTGCATTTCTACGCTACGCGATTGGCTTAAAAAACTCGCGCCACTTTGTCAGCCAATCAGAAGTAACACCAAACCAATCGTGAGTCGCTCGCACGTTTTCCCGCGCTCCGCGCCAACTACACGTGCTTGCTTCGAGTTTTAATTGGTTCAGTGGATTGACTGCGTCCTTTGTGATTGGCCAGAGTGACAACTTTGATTTTGATTTTACTACACTCAATTGATTGAGCTTTAGAAGCCCGAATTTCAGCCATCTCTGTAACTCAGCAAAAATCAATAAACAAGAGGGAAGAACTGATAATGATTGAGATAACGAAGTCAAGCCGTTTTCTCGTTCCCTTTTCATCCTCGTTTTCTCTCACCTCATCTATCTGTAGACCTAAGCTACATCATCGAACCTAAAAAGCCCGTGTGAGTAGGCTATAAACTATTAAACGTAATTTATCAAATATTGACAACATTTCATTAGCTTGTTTGAGTTTCAGGTGGCGTGATTTGGGAATTAGCATCTCGTGCCGAGAAGAAGAAAAGTTTGTACCCTTCAGGAGAAAGGCACTAGGCTCCCTATTTGGTATATTTTTTTGGGATAAAATAAAAGATAGAACTCACAAGTTTTGCTAGCTTTACCAACATTTGCTAGCTTTCACCTCTCATTGTGTCTTTTGCGCATGTATCAGAAACTAGAATCTATTAGAGATTTCAATGTTTCAGGATCAGGGGTCGGGTAATTTCGGATTTGCAGAGACCAAACTTCTAAGAGATATACATTTTTGCTATAGGAAGAGAAGTGGAGGAGGGGGGGGGGGGNTTCCTGCTCTGTCATCCCACAAAATAAGCATGTCTCACAACTTGTTCACCAAAGCAGCCTGCATTGCACAAAGTAGAATCATGTTCTACTTTTTGCAATGATAACTGCAAAGAAAACATTGCAAAATATTCAGGGGGACTGTTACACTAAGCAATGTCTTGTGTAACTTGCCCCATAGCTTGCCTAGCTGGAACTTGAATAATAATACGCCATTCATTGTTTCAGTGCCAGCCCAATTTGCACATTTTGATGCTAGACTTATGCAAAACAATGAATTTCATGAAGAAATTAAAGAAACAAAAATGCTGTGAATTTAGTGGCAGACTGATATCACCAAAAAGTGTGCATTTGTCCCTTTATTTAAAATCAAAATACATTGTCATGCAAAACATAAGACAGTGAAGTACACATTGAGACTGTTTGGTAAGTGGTAATCTTCCAGACAGTATTTTTCACTGAAAATTTACACTCAATTTTAACAAAAATTTTGCACAAAATGGTTTCAGTTCACCAGTGCTTGGGTGACGAGATGGCAGAATTTTCTAGTACTCAAAGATGATAAATCACCAAGAAAAACTCTGTGACAGTCACATTATATAAAGTCTGAATACAAGCACAGAGGCCCATCAGGCCAGCACTTATCTCCATTTTCACCTGCATGACTAGGAGTATCCTACTCCCCACTAGATGGGACATGCTAGTTCACTGCAGGGTTACCCCCAACATTAAATTCACCAGTACCCATTCATACACCTGGGCGGAGAGAGGCACTGAGAGAATTAAGTGTCTTGCCCAAGAACACAACACAAAGTCCCCAGCCAGGGCTTGACCTTGACCACTCAATCGGAGGTCAAGTGCACTAACTTTTAATTTTCTATCTATTTATCTCATTCAGTTTGCCTCCCATATCTCCCAAAACACTGTTAATTAAACACTAACGCTGCACTCCTGCTCTGGACAATGTCTACCACTCTTTTCTAGTATTAATAGTGAACTACAGTACATTTTACCTTTGACATGTGGTGTCTCCTTAGTTTTAAGAGTTTTTTCCTCCATGGTACCATTCCCAAGTTAGGAACTGTTGTGAAAACACAGTAATTTTGCAATGCATAGCTGTCTGCATCAAAATCACTAATTAAATCATTTTCCAATGTTGCCAGTGTTTGCTATCATGGATGTTCCACACGTTGGAGAATTCTTCATCTGCTGTGTCCACTAACACAAATTTCAAAAACTTAGCTGCAAGTTCTGTGCTGAAAATTTTTCCTTCCTTTTCAACTTTGGCAAAGTACGACACATGAGGCAACTGATGTTCTTTGGCTAACTTGATGTGTTCCCACAAGCCTTCAGTGTCAACCACTCCGGGGAGAACTTCGGCAATTTTAACTTGCGATCCCTCAAATTCAACCAAAAGTTGCTGGTAAAGTCTTTGAAAGGCCATCTTGGTGATGCCATAAGTGATTGTACCAAGCTGCGGCGTTGAGGCAACCCCCGTCCCTAAGTGAATTATCCGTCCATGGTTGCTGTTAAGCCTTGCAAAAAACCCTTTAGCTAACATGAGTGGTGCGGTAACATTTACTGCAAATGCATATTCAAATTCATCGCGTTGAATATCCTGGAGTCGCGATGGAACTCCCACTGCAGCATTCTGTACCAAATATTTTACTGCGTCACTCTCTGGTATAAAATCCAGTATTTCCCTCTGACCTTCAGTGGTTGCTATGTCAACAGCAAGCGGATGAATGTTGTCAGGGGCATACTGTTGGGTTTCCAGTAAACGCTGAAGCCTGCGTCCTACAGCAAGTATGTGCAAATTATGAGAAGACAACTCCTTGGCCAAGGCCGCACCAATTCCTGTCCCTGCACCTGTTATAACTGCCCAGTTTTTCATCATTTCTGACATAAAAAATCAAGAAAACGGTAAATAAATCGATTAAAATTTAGACACAAACTGTCTTTTTTTTTTTTTCAATTTCTGGTATAATACACCTAAGATATCAAATTTGCTCTGAAAAGATTAAAGCACCCTAATAAAGCAGTACAAAAGCATGAAATTTAACCCCTGAAAGGTAGGTGTAGAACCCTAGTACTCAGTTACTTGGGACAGTCATATGTCAGGAAACAATTTTACAAGACCCAAAAAGCTATCAATATTTAGGCATTGTATGTCAAACTTAAGAGCATTTTTGAGCCTAAACCACACTCAAGAAATTATACACCCCTTCTCAACAAGTGTTTATTTGTTCAATAAGATAATCAATCTGCAAAGATTGACCATAGAGGAAGACTGCTATTTTTATTTTCCTCTGAATATTGAGCAAAAGATGCCAAATCTGTAAATAAAAAAGACTTGACTGATTTAGATAAAGGAAGACATCAGAAAACTACTCAAAAAACCTACTCGAGTTTAATTTATGTGAAATAAAGGTCTCCATGGTAACTTGCGGGGTGCATAGGCAGATAGGAATTTGTTGTATGAAAGGGTTTGTAATTCCACCAACAGGGGCTAATCCATGGTCCATGAGGAGGTTTCCCAAAATACGCCAACAAAAAGTTTTTAAATTTGATTACCATTATCAAGCAGCCTCCATCCCCTCCAAAAACATCCTAACATATAACTCAACTCCTCCCCCCTCCACAAATACCACCATTACAGGTTGGTCTTTGGTCAAAAATGCACAGAGGCTGAGAGTGATATTGCATTGAAAGATGATACCTGCGAAAGTCATAAATGTAACCTATAACTTTGCCTTTACCTACTTAATAATGCACATCTCACCAGCTTTCCCCATAAAATAGACAAGCCAGATAATATGCAAAACTGTCCTGCAGTCTTGTTTCTCTTTAAGTGAAAGGTAACCATGTAAATTTAATCAAGTCCCTTAGTTGCAATTTTCATTCCCAAACAATTCCCCTTTTTTTCAGTGACAGAGGACATTTGTGCATGCTCATTGGGTAAGAGTGATAGTCAATGATAGATTAATATATAGTATATCAAATTACATAGTGGGTAGAGCAGGGGGGCTGGGGGGGGGGGCTGTAACTCCCTAAAACAAAAATTTGGAGGGCTCAGCCCCCCACGTTTTAGTGCAGAAAATATCGCTAATGCAGCGGTATAAAATTTGTTTGACAAAATATTCTGTTTCATGATCTGCCCGAAGTATGTCAGGTTACAAATATAAGGACTACTAGCGAAGCTCTCAACAAACCTCCTGTCACCAAAACAATCCTAGGAGAGGTTCACAAACTGTAAAGACTGTATTTGTCATTACCTGTGGCATCAGTGACACCCAAGTGCACATTTTCTGCCCTACAACGACTAAAACCCTATTTTAGAAGCACCATGAAGACCACGAAGAAAGATCATTTAAACAACTGCCTCCTGCGGCATTGTCTTAAGTCCATTACAGACACATTGAACACTGTTGACATCGCAAAGAAGTTTCTTTGTGCAGACGAACAACTCAAGACATTTTGGAAAATACAAGTATAGGAATGCACTTAGCTTAATGATGAGCCCTAACAATGAGCCCCCTCATGTTTCAAAACACTCCACCACCTCTGCCTAGCCCTCCTTTCCAACAAGCAGACAGCATGCACAAAGGCTATATAAGGGAAAAGTGTCATTTCTTGCGACTTANCCCCCCCCTTCATGTTTCAAAACACTCCACCACCTCTGATAATTGATTGGTTCTTACCTATAGTCTATCAGAGGACAGACGTATAGATGACGTCGTTACACTTGTTTGTTTCTTTATTTTATACAACAGATAGAATCCATGTTGCCATGGTCTGTTCAGTGACAGATCAGAGAAGACATCAAAATGTGTTATGACCATCAGATCACCTATTTTGGCTTGCATTCCACTTTTTTGTCCATGCCACATTTTGACATTATCTCTGATTTGTTACTGAACAGATGCACTGCAACATGGAAACTATTTTTCAAGTTGATCATCGAAATATGTGTTCGATTTGCTAAATCCTCTTCTCTTTCCCAGGGGTGAGATTCCATAAACCTTGCCCAACATATCCAGGGAGTCCACGCCAGGGAAAAACCTTAGCCAGTGGCATTCCTCTGCATATACCTTTATTGAGAATAAAGCCACTAGTGGGATCTCTGTTAGAATTCACTCGTACAAATGAGATATTTAATCCATCAGCGTGGGTCTAAAGTCTTACATAACTTATTTAATTAAAGCTTGATCACAAAAACCATGAGGCATTCAACCCAAGGATACCTCAAGATCAAAAGCAAAAGAAAGAAAGTACCTTGAGTCCTTGACAGCTGCAACTGAGCGTAGCGATTTAAAGAAAACTTGAGATTACGCTTCCGAAAAAGAAGCTTTGATCAATTCTTCAAACTGCGTACAATGCAGGACACGCGACTGATGCGCGCGTTAGGCTTAGTCTCCAAGTCTCCTCGTTCGTCGCGTGACGAATAGCGTGACTACTACTGGCGTGACTAAATATTTTTGACAGGAAATTAAAATCATTCGCGCTTTCAGTGGAATAAATCCGCTTTCAATGTATTATCACCCCAGAGTAGCCCTTTACTGTAAGGGCACTTAAAGAGAGTTAAGATAGGAAACAGAACAGTATATTTTTTGCCCCATTTCCGCTTGGGAACTCTGGTCATTCGCGATGCAATAATAAATGATGTTTTATTACGGCAAAAAATCAACTGCGATAGCCGGAAGAGGAAAATGATAACATCTTGATGATTTCTTCAAAAAATAATTAACACCTTGACACAATCGACCACTGATGACTCAATTTAATTTCTACAAGATAAGACAAATATTAAGCTCAACCTGGAGCCCATCTAGACTCAAGACGTGTTAAATTGCTGTACATATTTACAGTTAACAGTTCAGTCTATAATCTCATAATGTGTTCCTATATTTTGTACAAGTATGCAAATCAAAGTTCTTCCATGCCGTCACGGGGTCTTGACACTCTTTACAGAAACTGAAAGGAGTTAATAAATCAGCGAAGGTTCCGCTCCTGCTTTGCTTTGGCACTTATTTGTCGCTCACAGCTCCACACATAAAAATAAATAAAATAAACCCCGGGTATGAATTAAAGTTACGAGGAGTCACTAAAGTTTCGTTGAGTGAATAATCACAAAATTAAAAAGCAATGTATGATATTCACATACATCCGTTGCTGCCTACAGGTTGAATATCTTCACCACGACGAGGTCACGGGTGCATAAATTTTGACATCTCGGAAACCGGTGATTTGGTAAACACCTCGAAGTCGGAAACTTTCGCGTGATTTCGGCACCAGTCTTGAGGTTTTGTGAGCAGCAATTAATTCCTCGTCAATGTACGAATCATTAGAGTTTCTTTGATGGCGTTTTATGATCCTGTAATTGTTCTTCGACCGGGTTCTTCCTAGTTATTTCCTTGTTTCCCGTTTCACTGACACCACTGCTTTTCGGTTGCTCCTCACTCTCTTTCGGAGGCTCATTTACTTCAACCCATTCGTATTTAGTTCCTTTTAACGGTTTTCCTTCCTGAAAATCGAAGTCATATTTTTCGTTCATCTCTTGGGTATCCTTATTTCTCTCTCTCTGTAAATCACTCTCTAGTTGTTGATGGTCTGGACGCCCAAACAGACATTTTCTAGCTTTGCTCGCTCCTGGATCCATCGAAAAACGTTTGACGTAGTTTAAGGGTATCGAACCTCCTCTGGGTCGAAAAGTTTCCTCGTTATGTCGAATTTACCCTGGATACGGGTTTTTATAGACTTAAAAGTGCATAAGAATGTGTATAAACGCGCCAAAATGAAGGTGTTACGTCACTACGTCATCAGCCGGTATACACTGCTTATTATGCATTACGCCTGGACAAGCTTGAACGTGTTCTCGACCCTTCGTTATAAATGTGCTTAATAAGTTACAATATAAATAATGAAGATGTGACTCTCGCAAATTCACGTCATGTCTTTGATCCGAAAAAAAAGGGGATTTGAATCTGTTGAAAAGTGAAACACCGTGGATGATTTGTTATGTCAATTTCAATCGGCTCTCAAGGGTGAGAAACAATGTTGTCCCACGCTTTTGTACAGTTCACTTCACTTTCACTCTTTTGCTGTACTCATAAGGATTTAAGGTCGGCATGCACCAGGGAACATACGGGGGGGGAGGGGAGGGACAAGTCCCCGAAATTACTCCCTGTAACAAGTCCCTGGGACAAGTCCCACTGTGTTGACTACCCAATCTAATCACAGCTGACCCAAAATTTGGTCAGTCCCTTGCTGTAAGGGAATTGCCGTAGGGACTAATCCCTGGGACTTCTCCCTTCGTGTTTCAAACCAAAACTGCACTTTGAACATATTTGAATGGTATCTCCGGCGAGGACGAGCTTCCAGCGGAAATAAAACTTGGCGGGAAAATACGACAGCTGGTCTGTTTGTAATTGAGAATTGAGTGAACAATTTAAAGTAAGACCAGTCTTGCATTTGTTTTGGCACTGTACAAGCTGCAATGCGTCGTCATTCAATGAAATGTTAATTTAAAATCGATGGGCATTTTTTTCGCGTGGACGATCAAAGGACAAACCAGAGAGGAGGATTAAAACCAAAAACACTTAGGATATTTTGTCAAAGTACTCAAGTTCTTGAAAGCTTCGCACTTCATAGAGATGTTGTCTTTAGGCAGGTAAATAATATTAAAGTAACAGACTATTGACAATGTTGTTTACATTATGTGTGGGGTGTACGTCTGAAGCGAGTCACGGTATGCTATTTCAAAACAACGCTTGTCGACTTCTTCTATCAAGAAATAATATTATGTTCCATGGACAAAAATCCTGCAATATAACACAAGAAAGGCTGAAATTCAAATCAGAGCAGTTAAAATTCGATTTAAAAGAGAAAATGTTTTGACATCATCTGTGGTATCATTAACAGTACATGCACGTGTACACGGAAAATATAATTATTTCCTCTTTGGGCAGGTTTCAACTTATTGACAACTCCGTAAACAATGCAGATATGGAAAATATTCTACGAAGTAATAAAAATACCACCAGTGCATGTGTGCGTGAAAACGAGTTCAGACTTGTGTCTGAGAGTTATTTTCAGCAGTCCAGCTTGCAAGTTTTGGGCCGAAAAATTAATTATTTAACTCCATAAAAACTCTGATCTAGAACAAATGGGTTTTGAGTCCTAAGTTGATTAGACCATGTCTAGCACCCGGAATTTTAGCTGAATTTCGTCTAGGGTTGACGGATAGTTTTTGCTGATCTTGGCAAAGTTTTTATAGCTCTCTTTATAGCCGAAATCCTTTCACAAATATTTGTACAAGAGTAAATTTCAAGGGCAAGAATGCAGACTCGGCGAGCCTCGCTTTTATGAAATAACTCAGTAAGAGAATAAAGTTGAGAGATTCAAAACATGGCGGCAAGTACTGCACTGAAAAACAAACTGGTTTCTTCATAGAATCCAAGGCGGAAATCTCGCGAAAACCTTTCTATAAAATCGTGAAGTATAAAAGCTCATGGAAATCAAATTTGCTGTTGTTCATGAATTTCGCTACCCTGCTGGCAGAGCCTCTTCTCTATCCAGGAAAGATCGAAGCGGCTCTACTAGAAGGGTAGAATTTTGCAGTTGTATTAAAATTCTTTTCTGTTCCGTTTATAACTGTAGGGATGACCCATTCGAAGTTGATCCCTTACCAAAGTCATTTTACTATCCATCAATGCAATGAGAGTTGTCTGAAGCCGACAGAAAGGTAAGTCTAAGACAACAGCGTGTTCTTCAGGAAATAAATCTTTTCAAAAGATCATGGGCGCGCTAACCTCTCGATCCCGGTACATATGAGTGATGGTACATGTAGCCGAAAATTTTTTGTCAGTTAAATATAAAAAACGTAGATACCGTAGATTTATTGATTTATGCCGGTCACAAAAACATGAGGCATTTACAGTCAAAACAGCTCAAGCGTTCCCGCCAAGGGTGAATGAATGAGTTCATTTTATCGGAAATTTGATTTCATTACTCATTTCAATAGTCCGTTCTTAAAATTGAAGAGTAGAAAATTCAAGACAAGACTCGGGGCGTTTTACATTTACAAAACTCTTCGGAAAATTTCTATTGGGAATTTCCGTTTGGGAAAAGCGCGTTCCATTTGTCACAAGTCCCATTCGTTCACAGGCCCCTCTCTGCCACTTCTCTGAATCTCCCGCGAATATTCAAAATGGAGGCCAATGAGGCCCATCAGATCTTGTTTTTGCGCGAAATGTTAGAAGTCTCTATAGAGGAAGAAAGTTTGATTAATTCAGAAGATGATGCAGTAGATATCTTTTCAGCGGCCTCGACGTTCATGAGA